GACCTCCATGATCATGGCTTGGAGCGCCTCCTCGTTCGACGCGTAGCCGTTGCTCGCCGCCGTGTCGAGGGCGATCTTGTACCCGATCTTCGCCGTGGCGGAGAAATCTTCGAGGCGGCGGCGCGCGTCGCGCTCGGCGGCAGCGACCGAGTCCGTCTCGCTGAGGCGCCGGGCCCCCGTGGCGATCAGCCGGCCCTCCACCGTGATGACGTCGGCGACCACCGTGGCGACGGAGATGACGTCGACGAGGGAGTTCTTCAGCACGAGCACCTCGTTGGTGTCGAAGACCGTCTTCGTGAGGCCCGAGACGAAGATCTCCGATACGAGGAACGAAGCCTGGTTCGCGTCGGACGTCGTGGGCGCCCTCGTCGCAGTCGTGGGCGCGAGCGTGGCCTCAGTCACCTCGCCGCCGATCATCATGACCGAGAACTCGCACGGCGCCGTGCACGTCGACAAGAACTGCGTGTCCGACGGCAGAAACTGCACGCTGACCTCGTCGTCGTCCGCGCCGCCGCCGAACTTGACGACGTACGTGCCGTCGACGATGCACATGGCATCAACCTGAAATTTTCAAATTTAGGGCATAGTCGCGGGGGTCCGGGCTGTCCAGGCCGTTCGAGGCCAGCCCCCAGGGTCCAGTCGCAGGCGAACAGGCACACGACGCAGGACAGACACGACGCAAGGGGGGTCCTCACGTGTTCCTTGCCGGTGGCCATCGTGCCCGACGCCACGACGGTGCCAGCGTTAGACGTGATCGTGTAAGCAGCGCCCTCCCAGCCATCGTCGCCGTAGTCGTAGAGCGCGAGCTTGTACAGGGACTCGCCGGCGGCGCAGGCGGGCGTCGGCACGCCCGTGGGCGCGTTCGTCTTCGAGAGCAGCGTCGTTGGCATGGCCGTCGGCAGCGGCGACGGCAGCGGCGTCGGCAAGGCCGACGGCGGCACCGTCTCGGAGTACGAGTAGAACATGGAGTACGAGTAGACCGACGGGGCCAACTGTCTTCTCATGAGGTCGCCCATGCGGCCGAGCTCGGCCGCGGACCCCGCCGCCGAGGCGCCCCACCAGGCCTCCTTCTGCGAGTCGTGTACGGCCTGGGCGGGGAGGCCCGCGACCTCCTCCTGCTCCAGCGACAGCAGCCTGTCCGCCGCCGCGCGCGTCGGGGCGCCCTTGATCGCCTCGCCACCCGCGTTAAACTTGGCGCCGTCGCGGCCCCACGCCAGCTCCGGAGCGGCGACTCTGCCGGACGCGACGCTCAACAGCGCCGCGGCGGCGAGCGCCCGCAGGCGTGGCCTCTCCAAGCGGGGCATCGCGCACAGCCTTGCGCGCCTGAGCTGGGATCGCTCGGCAAAATATTTCGACAATTTTTGATCTCCTATCAGTCAAAAAAATTAGACTTCATTGTCGTGGCCGTTGATAGTCGTTTTTAACTAAACGGGCAAATAATTGCATTTTAAAATTTTATGCGGGTCCTCGTAACCCGTAATTATGACCCCATAACCTACGAGTGGAAAGTGCAAAAAACGAAAACGATCCTGAAAACATTCTTGCGGAATTCTTGCGGCTGTTTCGTGGCGGTTCCCTGAGGCAGTGGACGGTGGGCTGGCGAAGCCACAGCGGGCTGGAGACTCTGGGCGAAGAGGGACGAGGGCGCTCTTAGTTTACAGCAAAGAAGGGACGTCGCTGCCGTCACGTTGGGGGCAAGTTTCACCGCTCTGGGCTGGATGCGGGGTCCGACGACCTAAGGCAGCAGGCATTCGCATCCGGTGGAGGCGACGAAGAAGGTGGCATTGCGGCCGCAGGCATTCGCATCCAGTGGGGGCGACGAAGAAGGTGGCATGCGACGGACCCGGATTCTGCGATGACGCCCAGCACGAGATCGTTCTTCTGCACGAGGGCGGCGACGTCATCCACGGCCACGGCGAGCGCCGCCATGGGAAAGCCGTCGAGCGCAGACATGAGGTGCGCGATTGACCTATAGGAATTCCTATCCGGCGCGACAGTCTAGGAATGCCGATGCCCGCCTGCCCGTCGGTGGCTCTGCGTGGTCCGCGGCTTAGCAATCACGCGATTCCCGTGCGCATCGCCTTCGACGCGGGGCCGCGTGCTGCGCCTGCAGCTCGTCCGTCAGCGACACGAGCACGTCGCGGCCCGCCGCCGCGCACGGCAGCGCGAGCGCCACCGCCGCTCCTCGCCCCACGGGCACGGCCGTACTCCGCGTGGTCTGCGTGTCCTCAAAGGTGAGGAGGTAGAGCATGCCGGACGCGCCGGCCACGGCGCCGCGGAGCGCGGCCGAGCTCAGCGGAGCCAGCTGGGGTGCCCAATCTTCGCCAAAGTCGACGATGCGCGCGAGCTGCTTGTCGTCAAAGTCCAGCTGTGGCCTCACCGCGGCGGCCGGCGTCGCCCGGGGCACGAGAAGCGGCGCGCCGCCGAGGCGCGCCACCTGCGCGTCGATCCTAGCGAGCGAACCCTTGAAGCACCCTCTGCGCGGCCGACTCGGTGCGGGCGCCGGCTCCCGGAGCGACGCGCTCAGAGCGACGGGGTGCTTACTCGTCGGCCTTGACGAGGAGGCGCTCCGCTTCCTACGGCCTGCGTCGCCGCCGCGCCCCGGTTGCGCCCCCCCAACGTGACGGCAGCGTCGTCCCTTCTTTGCTGTAACTACGAGCGCCCTCGTCCCTCTTCGCCCAGAGTCTGTGGCCGGCGGGACGCTGGGGTCTGCTTCGAGGTACGCGGCCTTCTGATTCGCCGCGTCGAAGAGCGCCTTTTGCAGGATGGCGCCGGCGAGGCGCGTGTGCACGCGCAGCAGGCCCAGGCCGCTCGCGCGCCCCGCGGCCAGCACGACCAACGCGACGAGGCGCGGGACCATCCGTGCTCGGGCTCGTGAGTTGTTTTCGGCGAGAGGTATTTTGGCGATATTTAAAAACAAAACAAAAACGTGACGCGTTGTTACAATTGTAGTACCCGGGACGCCCCTGACACCCCGACGATCGACCCTGGCCCAGGTGGCTCGAGGTGTCGAGAAGCCACCGAACGCCGGCGCCGTCGGGCGGCTCTCGGGAGCGGCCTCCTCGAGGGCCGCCCTTTGGCGGTGGCAGCACGCTGACCCGCGGCCGCCTACGCCGCCCGAATCGGTAGCGGCTCCGGATCACGCCCGCCGCGGCGCGGGCACGTGCGCAAATTAGTCGACGACGCCCCGCGCTGGGTCGAGGCGTGGCTCGATGGGCGGGCGAGGTCGAGGCGTGGCTCGATGGCGTGGTCGCGGGGGCGGAGACGACGGCCCCGGTGGACTTGGGCGGCAGCAGCGCGCAGGTCCGTCGGCGACGTTTAGGAAATACTTGCGCCTCGCTCTCTGCAGACGGCCGTCCCGCCTCGGCAGAGGAGCGACACGTTCATACGTTCTGGACGACCGCTGCACGATCGTACATCTGCTCAACTATCCCATCGAGCGCCTCTCTACGATGGAGAGTGTCGCCCTTGGTCGGATGCGCCGTCGGATGCGACGACGGCGACTCGAGGCCTTTCAGGCGACGGGCGCCCCAACGTGCCCCGACGACGACGCTCGAGGGGGGCCGCCGGCCCTCCGGCTCCGCGTCCTCGAGCGACGGCGAGCGCGCCGTGGCGGCGAGCGGTCGCGCGGGCGACTGCGGGGCCGCGGCCCTGGACTGTCGTGCCGGAGATCTATGGTTGGCGACTCGGCGCGCCGTCGAGTCGCAACGGCGACGCTCTCGGGCGGTCCGCGGTCTGCGACGGATGCTCATGAGGGTATCCGTCGCATTGGTCTCTCGAATGAGGACACGTGCCGACGAGGGGCGCCAAACGCCGCCAGTGCCCTACCGGCCGCACGAGTCGTGCACCGCCTGCCAGCGCCGCCGAGACCAAACGCACTCCGCCGGACTCGACCACGACCCGCCCCAGTCGACGACGATCGGTGGCGCACGACGGTTCGGACAAAGCGTCTTCGTACCAGACCCAGAGACGTGGCGCCTCGCTCGGAGGCCTAGGAGAGCAGGAACCGTGGCGCCTCGGCATCCAAGAAGTGTCCGCGAGATGAAGCCACGCGCCGCGGGAGCTATGCGCAGCGGGCCCGCCGGAGCCGCCACTCGTCCACAAGGGACACGCTCGTCGAACACGCACCGAGGTCAGATACTGCGTCTCGACAAGCGAACCTCGTCGCTCGGGCAGAGCAGAGCCAGGCACACCAGGCCCTCCGGCGACGCCCGGCACACGATCCTCTCGCCTTTGCACAAAGCCCTGCCGCTCGACGAGGAGCGTCGCGCGAGTCGGCGGGAGCGATCCTCGGCGGTTCTTTTCGGCGGTTCTTTACTTAGAGTGCGACATTCCAGAGCAGCGCCGTCCTGTCGTTGCCCGCCGTCACAAGGCGCGTGCCGTCAGGCGAGAACGCGCAGCTCGTGACACCGCTGGTGTCTGCCTCGAGCGTCTTCTGCAGCGCGCCCGTCTCGGCGTCCCAGAGCCGCATCGTCTTGTCGTTGCTCGCCGTCGCGACGCGCGTGCCGTCGGGCGAGAACGCGCAGCAATTGACGCTGCCGGTGTGCCCCTCGAGCGTCAGCAGCAGCGCGCCCGTCTCGGCGTCCCAGAGCCGCGCCGTCTTGTCGTTGCTCGCCGTCGCGACGCGCGTGCCGTCGGGCGAGAACGCGCAGCTCCAGACCCAAGTGTGCACCTCGAGCGTCGTCAGCAGCGCGCTCGTCTCGGCGTCCCAGAGCCGCGCCGTCCAGTCGGCGCTCGCCGTCGCAACGCGTAGGCCGCCGGGCAAGAACGCGCAGGCCTCGGCGCCGGTGACGTCCATGGCCGCGGCGCCCCGCAGAGCCCTGGCAAGACTCCGAGCGAGCGAAGGCAGTGTTCAAGGCACCGACTTTGGTTTGAGTGACGAAGGTAACTCTGGATTTGATGAGTTTGTAAGACACGTCTCAACCTTGAGATGCCCTTTGAATACTACGAGTCGCAGAACTTTGCCGTCGAAGTCGATTCGCGCTTTTCATTGGGCAACATTCAACGAGGCCGAGCGGTTAAGGCGAGTGACTCGAATGGATAACTACTGACTCAGAGAGTCTCTTATGCGCAGGTTCGAGTCCTGCCGTTGTCGCAAGCTTTTTCTCGGATTAAAATTCTAAGTTATGGGCTCCTCTTTACAGCGACAAAGGCTCTCGCGCAGCGGTGATGAAAAACAGCTCCCTCTTCCGACGGCACGCGTGAAGACAACGGCTTAACCGGAATCGAACAATATTTTCTGAGCTCAACGCGAGTCGGGCCCGTCGACTTTTTGGTCACGCCGGCACGGGCCGCCCAGCCGTGTCGAGACGGCTTTCTACGGCGAGAGTGTCGGAACCCCCAACGTTTTCACAAAGTGCTCCGACGCACGGCCGGCCGAGCGACACGACGACGTCGCTGCCGGCGTCTGTCCCGGGTGTCTCTGCGGTCGCGGACGTCAATACGTTCGTCGTCCGGACGACGGACGTGTCGGCACCGGCGACGCCTTTCGACATCTCCCTCAGGCTGACGCCGCCGGGCTCCCCGCGAGCACGGGTCCTGCATCGTACGCCGCGGCCGTGGCCGTGGCCGCGCCGCAAACGGCGCTGTCGACAGGCAGTCGACGGAAGAAGTCTTTGCGGCGCACCGCCGCCCGCCGCCGGCTTTGGGCCCGCGGGCCGAGCACTGCACCGCATCGCCTCCCTGTGGCGAGGAGAGTCGACCGGAGACGGCAGTCACCGGGGAGGCCTCTGCGTTGCTGGCCGTCTCTAGGCGGAGGCGACGCCTCCGTCTTCCGGGGATACGATGGCCTCAGGATAGTAGAGGTCTGAAGGGGGTATTCTCCGGGGGCGCGTCCCTTTGGTGTTCCGGAATGTCGTAGGAAAGTGGAATGCATCACAGGAGAAGAAGAAACATAATTAGACGACTCCCATCGCAGTGAGTATGACGTCGTACCAATAGGGCATGTACAAAATCGACACGTCAAAGGACTGCGCCATCATCTCGCGGTGCTTATCCTCCAAAAACCGCGGCGTCACGTCGCTCCAGTTCGAGACGAGGACGACGGGGAGCTTGGAGAGGATGGCTTTCCGGGCAGCGTAAGAAGTGTCGTCCACTAAAGGGATGGCGCCAGAGATGAGAGCCTCGTACTCGCGGTAGCACTGCTCCCCGACGCCGTTCGGGCCTGGCGAAAAAGCGTCGGGGGGCGGGCGGTTTCGTGGTCGTTTAGCACGGGGCAGACACACACAGGGGACTCACTGAATACAAATTTTGCCCCGAGCATGCTCACGGGCAAATGCGCGTCGTAGTTCCCGTTCATGCCCTTCGCGCTGCCGTAGCGGCCGTGGAGCATCAATAGCACGTCGGCCTCGATCTCGTGCGAGCCTACGCATCTGGGATAAGTTTACGCGACGCGTGTCGTAGACGAGCACTAGGGATACAAACTTCTCTCCGCATTGAAAAAGCACCTTCGTCTTCAAAGGGCAGTTGGATGTGGTGGCCGACGGGCCGGTTGGATACGGGGCAGAGGAACTCCTTGTGCTTGGCGAGGGCGATCAAGTGCTCCATTCGGCCCTAGAACGTATAGGAATCGTATAGGAATCCTAGAGTTCGAATATAGAAAGGCCCACGCACCTTGTGCTTGGAGTCGACGTTCATGCAGCAACAGAGCAAAAGCCTCTTCTGCCTCGGGACTCGGTCGACGTGCGGGTGCTCCAGCAGAGCCTGCCAGAGCGAGACGCCCCGGACGCCGATGACCCTTTCTTGAACTTTTTTCAAAAGTTCCAAGTCGTCGCCGGCCCGCGCATCGTCGACGTTGTTCGCCGTCAGCAGCTTTACTCTTTTCAACAGCGCGGCGTCGGCGCGGAATTTTTGCGGAGCAAAGAAATCGATTATCAGAGGTTGGCTCGGCTTCAAAGACTTTAAGGCGTGCCCGCAGGGCGTAAACTCTTTGGTCCGAGCCCATTCGAAGTGATTGAGCAGCTTCAACGGCTCGTAGTGGTACCTAAAGCCAGCGATGGCCATGGGACTCTCCGTCTCCAAAAGGACGCGGCACCGTACGACGCGATCACCACCGTCTCGAGGTTTGCCAGATCGCCCGCGACGTGGCAGCCCTTTAAAGGATGGAGGTGGACGTCTGATATGGCCGCGTAGGCGTGCGGGTGCACTAAAAGATTGCGTAGAGGGTCGACTCCAAAGTCCCCGACGTCCGGATTCGGCTTGCCCGAGAGCATGGGGATCGCCGGCACCTTCAAATCGTGCGAGAGGATGTTTGAGCCGAGTCTACTCTTCTCTTGGATCCAGTATTGCATGCAGCAATGAAAGCAGCACTTCATTCTCGCATAATCCGCCCCGAACAGAATCCGAGCCTTTAAGCAATCCCGAGGCGGCTTCAACAAAGTGGGGCACGCCTCAAACTCGGAGCACGTGGAAGTTTCCTCGACGAGGCACTGCTCGATGCCCGCTTTTGTATGCCTTGAAGCGCCGTTTTCTAAAGCACGCTTGCGCATGTACGCCTCGAACTCGCCAACCTCCACCAGGCGCTGCTCCTGCTGCAGCCACTTGACTTTGGGCGCGTTTGGCGACTTGGACCCGAGGCACTCGGGGCCGTAGCCGTGTATCGTATTCATAAAGTCAAAAACTCGCAGAGTCGCAGGGCCGTCGACGCCCGCGGGCCTACGTTCGGATTCCAAAGGCGCCCTTCCGGCATATGAGATGAGACGCACCAGACGGCATCGTCGAGATTTGCGCGCGAGGGCAGCGCTCTTTCCCCGTCATGAAATGTCATGTTCGCCAAGCGTTTCGCGCGGTCGGCGCAATTGCTCGGCTTCTTGGACGAGGCTAGATTGCAGAGGCGCTCGCCTTGGACCAAGCGGTTTGCTAAGACGTCTTCAACTCGTAAGGTCTCGTCGGCGTACCGCGCGACGTGTTCGTTCCAGGCCACAAACGTCGAGACCGCCCATCCGAGGCGTTCCTCCCAGCCAGAGTCGCATTTGTATGTCTTGGCGCACTTTGACGTTAGAGCGGGGGCGGACGTCGCCGCTTGCACGAACCTTCTCTCCGGGGCCGGCGCGTCCAACATGGCCGATATGGCCTTGATGGGGCAGCGCACTAAATGGATGACTCTGGAAAACCGCGGCTTCAGGGCGTGCTGGTACTCGCCGCCCTGGTGGGATCGTTGGCGTTTCCTCATCCACGGCGTTCTCTCCGAACTTTGCGGATACGGCACCGATAGGACAACGTCGTTCACCGCGCGCGACCATGAAACCGTCGCCTGCGCCGCGTACGCCTCCAGGCCCACCTCGAGGCCCATGCGCTCCAGCAGAGCGTGGACCATGCGGAGACCAGAGCCGCTCGCACCTGCGACCGCTCGTTAGGCCGAGACGCCATGGAAAAAGAGGCGCACCCGTGAGCAGGAGCGGCAGGACCTCGGACTCCGCGGGGCGCCGCATGCACGCGCCTGCGCCGGCGCGCGTCGGCGCGCGGGCGTCGCCGAAAGGCGCGCGGGCGTCGCCGAAAGGCGTCCCTGGCGCCCGTATACCGAGCCGCCTCTCCGGCGCGCGCCGGTCTGCGGGGCCCGTCGCACCGTCGAGCTTGCGCGTGAAGATGAATTTGTCGCAGACCGGACTGTTGACCTTCCAGCCCCGTTCACCATGATTACTCTTCTGCTTCCCGCCAGTGAACCCACGCCGCACGTACGACACATTGTCCAGCGCCGCGCACAACCCCAGCAGCGCCCACGCCCACAGCCGCGCCGTGCGCGCCATGCCGGGTTCGACCGTGCAGCCGCGACACTCGAAAAAATATCTGAGATCGCCAAAATTATTATTGAAAATATGGCCATGGCTCGCACGGCCGTGGTGTTTACCGTGACGGTGCTATGGTGACGGAGACGCATCGTGCGGGATGCATGGTCGTCGAGCTCGAGCTCCCTCTCGGCTGGATTTTTAAAGTCATCGACCTCTGATCGGCACGACGCGCCGAGACGCCGACGTCGCCGGCGAGGACTGCGACGCAGGCGCGCCGGCGCGTGAGGGCGCGGGACCGCCGGCGCGCCGGCGCGGACGATTCCACGGGCACGCGACGCGGGCGAACGGCGCGGCAGTCGCTCTCGCCGTCGTCACCGGCGAGGGCTGTGTCGCAGGCGCGCCGGCGCGGGCGAGCGGAGCGGCGCGGGCGCAGCGAGCGGCGGTGGCGGCGCGGCGGCGCGGCAGTCGTCGTCGTCACAAGAGCGGCGCAAAAAAACGACACGCGCGTCAACACAATCAACAACACCAAAACACTCCGGCCGACCCACCACCGCCCCGGACTCTTCGCGTCACACCGGTCCATCGCGTTCAATGAAAAGAGCGCCAATCGCGTGCAGCCCAGCTTCAAATTCTATGAAAGGGTAATCACTGACTGACTGACTAACACTCGCACGACATGTCGACACTGGCACGGCGGCCACCCTTGCCCAAGATCCCCGGCCGTCCATCTGGCCGTCCCGCGTGATCGGTGATCACGATATCCTGGCTTCGGGGCACGGCCGCATCGCCGAGGCGGGCGAGCCCTGAAGTGCGAATCGGCGTCGCGCGAATCGGCAGGGGCGATCCTCAACGGGCCGTTCCTTAGAGTGCGACATTCCAAAGCCGCGCCGTCTCGTCGTCGGCCGCCGTCACGATTCGCGTGCCGTCGGGCGAGAACGCGCAGCTGTTGATGCAGTCGGTGTGCCCCTCGAGCGTCATCAGCAGCGCGCCCGTCTCGGCGTCCCAGAGCCGCGCCGTCCAATCGTCGCTTCCCGTCACGACGCGCTTGCCGTCGGGAGAGAACGCGCAGCTGTTGATGCAGTTGATGTGCCCAACGAGCGTCTTCTGTAGCACGCCCGTCTCGGCGTCCCAGAGCCGCGCCGTGCCGTCGTCGCTCGCCGTCGCAACGCGTAGGCCGTCGGGCGAGAACGCGCAGCTGTCACAGTCGATGAAGCCGGTGTTTCTTCCGATCGTGATCCGAGTCAGCAGCGTGCCCGTCTCGGCGTCCCAGACCCGCGCCGTCCAGTCGGCGCTCGCCATCACGATGCGTAGGCCGTCGGGCGAAAACGCGCAGCTGAAGACGTAGTAAGTTTGCCCCTCAAGCGTCGTCAGCAGCGCGCCCGTTTCGGCGTCCCAGAGCTGCGCCGTCCCGTCGGCGCTCGCCGTCACGAGGCACTTGCCGTCGGGCGAGAACGCGCAGCCGGAGACGAAGCCGTGGTGACTCTTAATCGTCAGCAGCAGCGCGCCCGTCTCGGCGTCCCAGAGACGCGCCGTCCCGTCCTCGCTCGCCGTTAAGAGGCGCTTGCCGTCGGGCGAGAACGCACAGCTCTTGACGTGGCGGGTGTGCCCTTCGAGCGTCAGCAGCAGCGCGCCCGTCTCAGCGTCCCAGAGCCGCGCCGTCTTGTCGAAGCTCGTCGTCACGATGCGCTTGCCGTCGGGCGAGAACGCGCAGCTGAAGACGACGTCGGTGTGCCCCTTCAAGATTGCTGTCCCCTTCAAGATGCGATCCTGCCAGATGAGTATGCGCGCCGCCGGCGCCACGGCCCGCGCGTTTCGAGCGACTTGCTTGGAGACGAGGAGCGCGTTCAAATTTGCCGCCAGCCGGAGGATGGGCGTGAGCAGGTCGCCCTGCTGCAGCACCTCGACCGAGCGCGAGCGTCGTCGCAGCGTGACGACGCTTGGGGCCTCGGTGCCGGAGAGGACCATGGCCGCGGCGCCCCGCGGAGCCCTGGCAAGACTCTGAGCGAGCGAAGGAACAGACTTTGGTTTGTGTGGCGAAGATTGGCGAAGGTAGGAATTCCCAACTCTGGATTTGATGAGTTTGGAAGACACGTGCTCAAAATGCCCTTTGAATACTACGGGTCGCACCGAAGTTTCTCACAATGGTTTCGCAATTTTCATTGGGCGTGGCCGAGCGGTGATGACGAGTGACTCAAATCTTCAACTCAGTGATAAACTCTCATCGATAGATGCGCAGGTTCGAGCCCTGCCGTTGTCGTCTTTTGTCGAAATCCCATCAATAATATTAAATTCTCATTTAACATTGGCGCATGACGAGACCATCCGACTTGCACGTCAGTATGAGAGCTTGCTCGTTGAACATAACCAAGCTATACCCAAATTTCCGACGCCTTTTTTTACAAACGCCCAGATTATGGGCTCCATTTTGATTAAATGTGGCCACACCTTTCAAGTTGAGGCAGGCGTCTGTCCTTTGTCTGTCGAAGGGGCCGGCGGTTGAGGAGTCCCTACTAAGAGCCTGATTATACGGAAATTTTTTGGCCTGAGGCTTTGCGGTATGCGGTTTTACGGTCTCCTAACGGACCGAAATAGCACCGCATACCGCAAAACCGCAAACAACCTTTATGCGCCGCAAAAGAAGTTGGATTTAATTACAAGAGCGCGCCGGAGGCACACGGAGGACCCGAAGGATACAGCCAAATCCCATTGCAATGCCCACGTAAATAATTGAAATTATTTAACTAATCGCTGAACTTTCAAATCCTCCTTATCTTTATTTTTATTATTTTATTTCTTATTGAGCTATTTATTTTTCCTTTTTTTTGCGGCCGACCAGATTCGAACCTGTGACCAAAAACTTCTTCTATGATGATTCCAATGAGGCTCCTGCTCGACCTCAACTCCCAATTTTAGCGATCGCATCAACCACCAATCGCTAAATCGGCCGAGTTGCTGTTTTTTTCTTCCCAAAGGTGGAACCTCACGGATGGACCCGGCGACGGACAGACAGACAAACAGACAGACAGACAGACAAACAGACAGACATAATTGCCCCTGGTAATCCTTCAATCAAAGGACCCGAAGGGCCCTTGCCGTAAACTGACGTTGAATAAACGGCAAGGACCCTTCGGGTCCTCAAAAAAGTGGGAAAAAGGAGGAAAAAGGCAAAGTTTTCTTTGGTTATGGGCTCCTTCAGGTGTTTTGGGACTGGCCGATCGCGAGCTCTTGGCGGGACGATGGCGGCGGCATGGAGCCTCGTGGTCGGCCGTCTTGGCGCTGCCGGCGGCTGCGCGCGGTCGTGCTGGGCGTCGCGCGTCCGCGCGGATCCTGGCGAGCAAGGCGGCGTCGAACGCGCCGCTCGCCTCGCCGCGGCCGCCGCCTTCCGTCCGCGCCGCCCGCGCCCGCGTGCATGCCGTCCGCGCCGCCCGCGCGCATACCGTCGTCCGCGCCGTCCGCGCCGCCTACGCGGAGGCGCGCGCCGTCGCTCGCGTTGCCGCCGTCCACGTTGCCGCCGTCCGTGTTCCCGCCGTCCATCCGAGGCGCGCGTCGTCCGCGCCGAGGCGCGCGCCGCCGCTCGAGTCGCCGTTCGTCGCCGACCGCGTTGCCGCTGGCCAAGTGGCGCGCTCGGCTTCAGATTCGCGCGCGGCTTGGTATCAGGATAGACCGCAAAATAGATACCGCATTTTGTCACGCGCGCGTCGATTATACGAATACCGCAAATGAGGTACTGCGGTATGTCCGTTAGGAGACCGTAAGACCGCATACCGCAAAGCCTCAGGCCAAAATAATTCCGTATATTCAGGCTCTAAGGGAGTAGATTGCCGCACGATGTGGTCTCGTGAATCTTAGCGATTTCTAACGTCGGAGCGCGCCCCGCGTCGAGACAATACGACGCACGATCGGTCGAGGACTCGCGCGGCCGAACAAGGGTCTCGACGCAGGACGACGCAGCTTCTTCGGCTGCCCCTTGGAAGCGTACCGTGCGGTTCCAAACTCTCAGCCGCCCGGGCGGCCGTCTTTGGCGGCGGGGCGCAAGTTTACTTATGCGGCGGTGGCCTTTTACACTGCTCTTGCCGCCATGGCCGCTTCCGGGTCGCCGCCTGGGATTTCACGTTTCAAAAAGCACGCGCGCGTAATCGCGAGCGAGAACCCGCACCTGGGACCATGATGCAGACGTTGTTGCCGTTGAGCAGGATCTGATCCAGCTGCGTCTTCGTGCGTCCTTCGCCTAAAGATGGCGTCGGGGGTCGATTCGAAAACCGCGCGGGCGGCAACGGCGGGGCTCCCGAAATCTGTGCGGGCGGGGTCGAGGGGTACGCACTCGTCGTGCAGTACTCCGTCGCGTCGTCGAGGACCTGCGGCGGCGGTGAGGCTCCGCGGGGCGGCGAGCGATTGCTTAAAAGGGGCGGCGGCGGTGCCGCTTTGGAAGAGCGCCTCCGCGCGAGTTGCCGTTTTCCCGCGGTGGCGAATCGAGCTTGCTTACCATGTTGACGTACTCGTCGAAGCCGCGCAGCGTGCCGCAAACTTCCTTGTCGCTAAATTGCAGGGCGTCGAGCGGCTGCGGCAATGACCCAGAGGCGATGCATAGAGGCGGCATCCCCCGGCGCGATACGCACCCCTTCATGATGACCCATATCCTGCTGCCGATGCACTTGTCTACGAGCTCGAGGGGGAGCATGCGGTTCGCCATGCTGAGTTGCGTCGCGTCGCCCTGCGCGAACTGCGTCGCTGAAAAGAAAAGCTGGGCGGGGATTTGATGCGAGGGTCTGCGTTTTGCAAGTTTTGGGAGATTGCTTCCGCAGTCTTGCTTCCGCCGTCGACGCCGGCGCCGATGCTGCGCCTCCGCGCCGCGGCCGTGCTCTGCCTCCTCGCCGCGCGGGCGGCGCCCCCGACGCCCGAGAAATTGGTGCGGCGATTGGTGCGGCGACGGACGAAAAGGCGCCAAAGGGGCCTTGAGACGCCCTTGCGGCCACTCGGGCCGACCGCTCCGCTCGTAGCGCCTCGATCTGCTGGAGACGGAGGGCGCGCCGTTGTGGCCGCGCAGCATCCAGATGCGGTGCGCGGCCGTTTGCACTCGCCCGCGCTGGCCTTCTTGGAAGCCTCGCCCGCGCTCTCTTCGGACCCTCGCCTGCGGCCCGGCCCGCGCCGTCTTCGACGCCCGCTCGATTTTCCACCGACGACGCACCGACAGGGACGCAGAGGGCCGGCTCTTCGAGTGCTCCGACGGCGCCGAAGCGCGTGAGTCGCTGCGAAGGACGAAGGGCTCGTCGGTCCTCGCGCGCCGGAGCCGCCCCCGGTCCATTGCGGCCTCGGGGTGATCTTCGCCGCGCGACGCGTCGGTTAGACTCGAAGAATACGACGAACGCGACTGTTGCGCCCGTGAGGCTGTCTGTCGGTGAGTGTCCGCGGCGCTCCTTCCAAAGCGCGGCATCCGCGGCGCCCGGGGGCACGCTTGCGTCCGCCGGGCCGCGCGTCGCATCGGGGCGCCTCGACGGAGCCGCGCGAGAGTGGGGCTCGAATCGCCGGCACGATACATTTGGCTGCGGACGTTGTCACGGATCATGTAGGCGCCCAGCTGGCTCTCCTCGAGGGCACGTGCGCAACGCTCCACCAGGGCTGGTGGACGTACGAGTGGTGCCACCGCGCGGCCGTGCGGCAGTTCCACTTGGTCCAGATGCCCTCCGCCGTGCAAACGTGCGTCTTGAGACGTTGCAATGGTTGCTGTCTCGACATTTGCCAAAAACGACGTCATCCCTCTTCCGCGCAGCACGGAGCGCGACCCGGACTGGAGCCTCGGCGGCTACACGCGGACGGTCGCCGCGGGGGCGCATTTTGATGCGGCGGCGGACGCGGAGGCGTCCGTCGGTATCGACGGCGAGGCAATCGCGTCGAAAACGGTCGCAGAGGCCGCCGCTTTATCCGTCGGCGGCGTCGTCGACATCTTCGACGCCGGCGGCCAGAACTGCGATGAGATTGGCCGAGGGAGGCAATCCCTCGTCTCGTTCAAGTGCTGTTCGTCGAAAAGAGAACGCAAGTTGGTATCGGCGGGCGCCGGCGCGCGCGCGTTCCTCACGGCGGTCGAGGAGACGGCGCTCTGCGACTACGCGGTGACGGTCTGCGCGCCCCATCTCTGCACCTCGCACGAGGCCGACGTGCGTCCCTTTCAACGCGGGGTTTGAAACGCGAGGCTGCCTCCCCCGGTTCGACAAAGGCCGCTCCGCATGCCCTCGGACCCAGGTGACGGCGGTGGCGCTGCTCCGGTCGCTCGAGGGCGTGTGTTTGCAAAGGCACGCGGGGTGGTGGCGCTGCTCCGGCGTCGGGGATTCAAAGTCGGAAAGCCGGGACCCTCACACGACGTTAGAGTCGTGGGCGGCATCAAAAGCGCCGGGGGAGACGCGCGGCCGCCGTACGCGGAAGACGGGTGTGATCGGGAGCGAGCGGCGTACCATGTCGTCGGGATTTGTGCCATTTTGTTGGCATTCATACCAGCAAGTGCCTCTGCAGGTCTTTTGAGTTGTGCTACCAAAAGCACGCGCGGCAGTTCCACGTCCCGCCCGCGTCCGGCAGACTGCCCCGATACGGAAACGAGACAAAGGCCGGACGATCTCGCGCGAAACAGACGTCCAGCCCGTTCGACGCAAATGTATGTGTCGATCCCGTTCGACGCAAATGTACAACGCAGGTCGAAACCGTCGAGGGCGTCGAGGGCGCGGCGACGGCGCGCGTCGGGGCCGAGTTTTTGCTGGGCAGAAGCGTCGCCGATGCGTCGGGCGAAAGCGAGGCCCGCGTCCCTCGGCGCGTTTCGGAAGAGCTCCGCGTCTTCGAGGCCGGGGCGGACGCGTTTGGGGCGCGGGTCGACGCCGAGTACGGGGGCGGGACGGCCTGCGACGTTTCCGACGGCGACGCGCGAAGGGGTACGACTGTGCGGTTCATCTGCGGCGAATCGGACGCCCTGGTGTCAGTAGTCGAAGATCGCACGTGCCACTACGTCTTCACCGTCACCTGCGCCGCCCTCTGCAAGCATCCGGCGTTTGTATCTAAAGTGAAAAAGCGAGCGGTCACGTGCGGCGCCGTCGACCCGCAAAGGCAATGAGGCCTCTGCGTTGCGCAAGAAGCGCCCAAGAACGGCGCCGCGAGGCGGCTGACGTCCCATGTAATCGCATGATGATTGTTTATAACCTCGGCCGCGCCGCTCCTGCGCTGCGGGTCGCGTGCACACCGGCCCCGAGGCCCGATGGAACCCGCTTGCCGCACCCG